ATAAGCTTTGATTTTTCACACAAATTGATTATATATCATAATAAATTAATGTTAAATATTTTTATAAATGAAAAATAGAGATACCTTTCACCAAAGTTTACACTTTTGGTGACTTGATTTAGTATTCTTTCCATAATTACATAATTACTTCAACTATCTTAATACATAATTACTTCCAACTTGTGAGAAGCTGCTAAGTTTGATTCCTCCATGCATCCCACAACAAATGAAGGATCTGACAAGTGATCTACACTAATGTTCATGTCAATGCTGGATTAATGTTTATTGCCTATATTATAACAAAAGCAAGGATCCTGTGGCAAGCAAAAGAAAAAGAAGTTCATGGAATAATGAAAAATTTTCACCACTTTAGACTTAAAAATGGACTTCCAAGATTAATATTGTTAAAATCTAAGATGATGATAAATTTGAGTCAATATATGTCAAGGTTAATATATATTAAGTGTCACACTAGTTCAAACGAAAGTTTAAGCTTTTAAACATAGTATATATAACTCGACTGTTTTAATTATTAGTAACGTAAGACTATCCTTCTATTTTATCCCTCTTTATCTCATATACATAAATATGGTTAATCAATATGATATAATCAAATTATTAATAATTTTATTCTTATAAACAAAAATATTTTTATGGCTCTCAATATGATCATTAGTTCACAAAGAATAATCTTACCACCACCACAACATAAAATCCACTTTTTCTTATTTTAATCTCAGCCTAGTTCTCTTCCCACATCAATCACCTAATCCTAGATGCTAGCTAGGAACTCATTCCAATACTTGTGTACACATGGTTTTGCTATCCAATCATTTAAATGGAGTGTCCCTTATCCTTGGATTAAGCATCGCCAATCCGGTACTAACAGATGTGAAAACCTCTCCACTATCTATGTTCTCAAGAACCCACTAATCCCCATTTACAAATAGAAAGAAAAGAGTATCCAATTCCTACAACCCAAAGAAATATCTCCAAGTGGGGGGGCGATAGGAATATATATATACATCTCAATGTACATGGAATGAGAATAAGAGGATAGCGTAGAGAGTTGGGAGTGTCACTGGGATTGGCTTTCTTGTTTCTAACGAGGAAATTAAAGGCAAGACATGAGAACAGGTTGTCTCTATCGAGATGAGAACAATGCACGAACAAAATCTAGGGGAAATCGGGGACAAGTGGAGGAATAAAACATAGAGAAACGGTGCATGCATGCCTTTGACTCAACTAAGCACAAGTGATAATATTTGTTTATGGTGTTCTTTCCTATCATGCAGATGGGATGAGGCCAGAAAGCTCCCATTCTTCAAGGTGAAGTAACCAACTGCTCCATTCCAATTTGTAAAGGTGTTATAGATAGCTATAGAAATGGTCAACCGTAGCTTGATGCAGTGGCAAAAAGGTTTGACTAATATATTTACTCACATTTTAGTACTCATATATACTTAAATATCCATCATGATGGTTTAGTTAGATGGATTGGAGAGAGAGAAAAAAAAAGGAATGAATTAACCAGAAGATAAATAATCTCACCATGCAAGTAAAAACATCCACACAAAAAAATGTCTAACTAATGATATAGGGCTTATGATCCGAACTCCCTGAATCAATCCTGTGTCATAACAAAGATTATATTGCATGCATATTTTTTTCTTCCTCTTGTTTGAGATGAATTAATTGAGATAGCATTCTCTCCTAAAAAAAAATACATTAACTACCATTGCATGGGGCATTAATCAATCCTATATTTACCCTCAAAACGCTTTACCATATGTTTATGGGGATATCGAACAATTGATGGAGCTCAGTCCATGATTGTCAGACATTAAGTCAAGCAATTATGTTAAGAATGTTGATATTGATCGAGGAAATAAATCATATGATTACATCTTTGGATCCCCAAAACACTCGAATCGATTGCCTAATGTTGTGGAGTACAGTTTAGGTAGGATGAAGATGAATACGTGGCTACGGTGGTGAAGAGGGCCCCATGACAAAGCTAGAGGAGTATGGGGCCTACATGGCAGATTAGGAGTGGCTGTCCAACTACCATCTTAATCCTTATCCACAATTGCCATGACACACATCTATTCCAATTGCAATCCTCGCTTTGTTCCTTGGGACCATCCCCATTCATATCAGCCGCATCTTTAATGTTTGTAAATAGTGTCAAACTAAATATTCTTATAATTTTAATTTTATATAAGAAATTTGATGGCAAATAAGAAAAGAAAGAGCTCGTCTGCCACATAGCATTCATGTGTATGACATGTTGAATTTAGATCACGAGTGTGAGATCTTTTTATAGCGAGCTAAATTGAGCATCCTTATTTATAGAGAGAGAGAGAGAGAGAGAGAGAGAGAGAGAGAGAGAGAGAGAGAGAGAGAGAGAGAGAGAGAGAGAGAGAGAGA